TATAATGCATCACATCACAAAGCTCACAAATGATATCTTCTACAAGCATATCATCTTCATCCATGTCGATATTACTTGTGAAAATTTTTACTTCTTTGCCAATATCAGAATCCTGCATATATTGTTTAGTAGTACCTAAAAGCATTCCAATCATAATAGAGATCCAAGTAGGTAGCCAAAATTAACAAAACCAAAAATAAAATAACAAAAAAAATTCAAATCATATATAAACTAATAAACTCAAATTAAAACTTTATTCCTCGGTAAGGTGAGAAAAACTTGTTTGTGTGATACCCGCAAGCGTACGGAATCGTTGATAAGTAATAGACCACAGGGAATAATTCAATTCAAGTTTACTAGTTTCGTATGAAATTCGAATTATGTAAAACAAAATGGAGATTTTGATTTTATTTTTGCTAAATTATTCTAAGAAAGCAATAAAAGTTTGTTTTTTAGCAAATTATGGATGATTGTATTGTATTTCGACTCCATCTATTGCTACCTATTTCAATTCTTGATTTGTAATCTAATTCCGTTCACACGTTTTTTACAATCGATAAAACTATCATATATAATTTTCTTTTTGAAGACCAATTAAATCTGTCCTAACCACGACCCGAATCTATTCCTTGCCGAAATTCGAATGATTAGAATGCATTAAAGTTTAAATTATCAATATGATTGCATATGTGATAAATGTTATTCCTAACATATATTACACATATATTAATTTTGTCGTGTTCTAAACTTATTGTGAGTCTCCTAATACTACAACAAGCAACTAATTATTTGATTGATAGCCAATCAATTAAATAATACAATAGGTGTGCAAAATTAATTATAAAACATAAGAATTAAACTAAACTACTTATCTTGAATTAAAAATAAATAACAAGTAGGGTTCATTTTCATCCAATACAAAAGTGGATCTAGCCTAGCATATTAATATATAAATTACAAGAAAAATAGAAAAATATCACCCGGATCATGAAAGAATAGAAAAAATGTTGATCTTCAAGTTTAAAGTTGAATTCTTCAAAATCTTGATGTAATTGGACTTCAATTCCTTGCTATGACTTGATCTCCTCTCTCAAAATATAGTAATTGATCATTTACTCTTGATGAATTTGATTAAACTATTATGTATAAAAAGGCAATATAAGGTTTTCTCATTGCTGCTCATGTCTTGTATTTATGTGATGAAATTAGGTTAAAATTCACGTCCAAATTGCCTTCTAAAAGAGTTTTAATCAAATAAGAAAAGTTGCCTTCGCGCGAGCATGATTTTGTCTCTACACAACCTTTAGTATTTTGGTCATAATTTTCTCTTCCGATATCCAATTGAGGTTATTCAAATTGTGTTGGAAAGTTAATTCAAAGAGCCACAATTCTTTTATAACTACAAATTTTCTCATTCAAACATTTTCTATCCAAAAAATGGGTCTCAGGTTGACCAAAAATCTGAAAGATATCTTATATGATTGGAAGTCAATTTATGATAACATTAAGATTATATCCCATTCTTTTTTTACTTCAATTTGCATTTAATTGACTCCTGTCAATCTTCAAAGTATCTTTTGTGGTTCAAATCAATCATTGGATATTTACACTTTGGCCCCCATACTTTTCTTTCATTTTTGCTCATTTTTCGTTCCTTTCTTCCAATTCTACTAATTTACATTGCGTTCAACCTAAAAAATATAAATAACATATAATTAAGCTATAACTTATTCCAGTCATTAACAAAAACTCCAATTTACTGACTTGGATAAGTGTACAAAATACACTTATCATTTTCAAAAATGTAGACTTTTGAAAAATGTTTTCAACTAGTTTTTCAAGGTAGGTGATATTTTTATGATCTAAGTTCAAATATCAATTTAAAAATCAATCTTACCTTTGATCAACACTTTTTATGCAAGTGATTATCAAAATAGTTTTTAGTGCACAAATTCGTTTTAGAGCTTTAATCATTCATTGTTAAAGGTTAAAGTATTAGTACATTTATATTTGAACAAAAATGTCTAGTCTATGATCTTCTTTTGAAGTTTGACTTTTAACCTCTAGTCTTGAAGGATTTAAATTAAATGCTTGATTTCAATCTTGATCTTAATTATGAGACCGATTTGCTATACGATAACCTTGATTATGATCTTTTGGCAAAGATTAACTAATTTATCATTGAATGCTTTGAAAACTATAGTAATTTAGACTCAATTATTAGAAAAATACGATTGACTTGTTTGCTATGATCAAAATAATGAGATTAAAGTTAACCGTAGATTAACATAACATTCATATATATGTTAAACTAACCATGTGGCTTTTTTTCAACTGTATATTTATTAAAAGCACCATATAAATTTTGGTCTAATGCCTCCAATATTTTAGAGCCAGTCCGTCGATATCCAACTAACCATGGTAAGTGTATCTATAAGTATGTAGTTTATGCATAAGCATAAAAGACTAGGAATTGCATAGCAAGAAAAAAGAAAAGAAAAGAAAGGGAATAGGAATTTGCGTGTTATTATTGATTATTGACCAAGTTGGAGATGTATTATCATTAAAGTTTTGATTAGCGGACGTAGCTTTATTAATTCACACGCAATCCAATGACTTCGACCCTAATCAATTAAATCCCATGGTCATTGTTAACAAAAATGATGTTTTGAATATTAAATTTTTTTTATTATAATGTGCGGTTAAAAAGTAAGGGAAAATTCTAGGTTTACATGCAAATATTTTATTATGTAAATATGTGGTTGAAAATAAGTATGAAATTAAAAAAATAAAAATAAAAATTGTTTTAAAGGGAGACGAATAGGGTCTAAGATGACAATACACTAAAAATATAACTTGGAATAGAAAGCCAACAAGAGATAATGGAAATATAGTAAAAATTGACTTGTATACTATTCGTAGGGTTGCCTACATCAATTGTCACCAAAATTTACTATGGGACTTTAACTCGTTTCATTTAATTCATCGAATTTTAAAACGCGTTGCAGTTATACTAGTGTATTAGTTGACCATCTTAACAAAAAAATAAAATAAAATAAGGAAGAAGAAGAAGAAAGAAAGAAAGAAAGAAAATCTTATGCGATATTAACGTTTGTTAATGCACTTATGTAACACGTCATGTTAAATTGGATTTATTACTTCAATTGTCGTCGAGCTTGAAACTCGTTATCATTTATATCATTGAAGTTTGATCGTTTTTATTTACCTAACTGAATTTTACAACTTGTTTTCATTATACCACCACATTAGTCTACTAATCATAAGAGATCACTGCATGGTATGAATTTCGACCGCTTGTCGTGTGCTTATACTTTACATATTTATCATTTTAGGTTTGCTAGCAATGTGTAGGGATGTCAACGAGTCGAGTCGAAACTCAAGGCTCGAGTAAAATGAAACAGGCTTTTTTCAAGCCCGAGCCGAGCAAAAGCTCGACCATAAAAAAAGGCTCGACCCGAGCTTTTGGCTCGAGCCGAGCTGGCTCAGTTTTCTCTCTATTTTTTTATTTATTTATATTTTTATATAAACAATGGCTCAGCTGCCTTTCTTAAGGCAACAGTCAGCTGCCTTAAATAAGGCAACTGGCCTGCTGCCTTGTTTAAATAAGGCAGCAAGCACTGTCTTAAAATAAGGCAACTGCCTTTTTTTTTTTTAAGGCCCGAGCCCGAGTCGACGAGCCACACGGGCCGGCTCTGGCGAAGCCCAGAACTTCAAAATGGGGCTCGACTCGAGCTTTGGCCTCAGTGGAACTGAGCCGGCTCGGGCTTTTTCGAGCTAAGTCACGGGCGACCCGAGCCGACGAGCCTAATTAACATCCCTAGCAATGTGTGTGTGTATTTTTTTTTAAATAATTCTTTAAATTGTCCATTACCTTTTTTATTTAGAACAATAAAATTTAAAACAAAACGTTTTAGCGAATCTCATATGATTATAATAAATTGTTTTAGTGATTATAAATGGCAATAGTATAATGTGTTTAGGAATAAAAGAAACGTCAAGCAAACAAACCCTAGATGAATAAATGCATAAAGCTATAAAGTATAAGAAAATGAGAAATGGTCAAAATCCATATTATAGTGGTCTTTCATGGTCGATCGACTAATGTGGTAGTGCATTTGAAACTAATTCTAAAGCTAGTAAGATAAATGAAATAATGATAACTAATATAGTTTAACCGAAATCATGAGATGAATTACACCAACAAATTAATCGAATGTAAATGTAAATATACGATGTGGGATTTTGTATTAAAAATTAAAAAAGATGAAAAAAACCAATAATTTTAAACTTCTTTTTTGATAAATAATTGCAAAATGTTTTCGAATTATGCAGAGTTGAAACTTGAGAGGTAGTAGGTGTAATTAACTAATATTTTTATCTCGGATCATGACTCGATTTTCTCTTAGCCTATGTTTGACCTCTGTTTTTTTTTTTTTTTTCAGAACTTACATTTAAAAAAATAATAATAATAAATAACACATTTTCAATCCTGCATCCTTCCATAAATAATTTTACACATATATAGCAAATCATTCACTATTTTATAATCATACATTATCCAAAAAAAATTACTATTTTAAAATTTATTTTTCTAAAAACATGTGGCGCAAACATGACCTTCCCCAACAAACCCTCATAATTGAAAGGTCACTTCCCAATCACTCAAAAAGTCAAGAAACTTCCACGCATCTACAAAATAACATTTCTTGTTTTTGCCCTTTTCCGCCTGAGCGTTTTTTTTTTTTTTTTCAGAACTTACATTTAAAAAAATAATAATAATAAATAACACATTTTCAATCCTGCATCCTTCCATAAACAATTTTACACATATATAGCAAATCATTCACTATTTTATAATCATACATTATCCAAAAAAAATTACTATTTTAAAATTTATTTTTCTAAAAACATGTGGCGCAAACATGACCGTCCCCAACAAACCCTCATAATTGAAAGGTCACTTCCCAATCACTCAAAAAGTCAAGAAACTTCCACGCATCTACAAAATAACATTTCTTGTTTTTGTCCTTTTCCGCCTGAGTATGGCTTCTGTAATCAATTCTGAATCTACATTGAATTGCTGAAACGAAATGCTGCCGCTAATCTGTTTGCCGGCGCCCAGATTAGTACTCTTTTTCTCATGCTCATCTATACAAAATCATTTTGGGTGTATGCGAGATGAATTTGGGGAACGTAACAAATGCGGTTAAAATTTTATAGTTTTTTGGGTTAAGGTTGTATTTCTGTTTTTGCATAAACTATAGGTTATCTATCAATTTACGTTTCTTCCCTTTTGGGTGTTTTCTGAACCTAGTTTCTCTTCAATTTCTGTGGGTTTATAATTTTAATTTCAGTTGACGTGCCTTAGCTTCCATCTGTAAATAACTGAGGATTTAGTCCATTTCAGCAAATTGGAGTTATTGAAGTTGTAATAACCCTGTATGTATCTGGAAGCTTATAAACGTCGGTAAGAGTATGGAAGTCGGCGCAACGTATACGAAGTCTCCTCTGCCGCCTTCTCATTATCTGGCTGTTTAAATTCACATTTCGTTGAATTTTCTCGAGTTTCACGATAGATATAACTACATGAAAATTTTTCCACTTCTATATTAGAAATAAAGCATTTACAATCTCCCCAATTTGGTATTTTTATTATTTTGGCCTGCAAGAACTTGGATTTATTACACGATTCTTGTGAAATTGGTTTGAGGGTTTGTTTGATTCTCTACCTTTTGATCTGTTGATTTGTAGTTGGAATCAGGTTGTGTGTGTTGCATTTTTGGGGTAATTGATTCTTAAGAGCTTTTTGGATTCCCTGGTTTTTGTTAGATATTCTGGTAATTGATTTTGACAGTTTCTTTGATTCTCGGATTAAGAATTTTGACTTTTTTGTAGGTAAATTGAATTGATGGGAAATAAAAGTTCAAGTCCTAGGGATGGGGCAAGTTGGAGGCAATCTTCATCATTCTCATCCAGTTCCTCAAACTCGTGGCAACACGAACATCCTCAATCAACATATTCACAATACACTCAGAATTATCCTGTGCAGCATCCTTATCCAGCACCTAATCAGTACTATGCTCCTGAAAATTATGGGGCTCCATCCCAATCACATGCTCCACAAAAGAAGCTAGACAGGAGGTATTCGAGGATTGCAGACAATTATAATTCATTAGAGGAGGTTTGTATATGGCAACATATCTAAGTTATGCCTCTGAAAACCAGAATTGGCAATTTCATGATATCATCTTGTGGATGTCAAAGCCTGTATTTGTATTATATGTGCGAAATCTTTATCCTCTTAACGAAGAACAAAGGCACAATTTCTCATTAGTTATTTCATGACCAACCGGTTCACAATTAGGTGCATGATTTTCATCCTATAGATCATTTCTTGGGGGAACGTGTGCACAGCTGGCTATTATTTTATCAAGAATACTTTCTGGCATGCTGGTTAACTCTACGGTGTAGATATAGTAGGGCTCAGATGCTTGTTAATTTCTCACGGGCTGTTTAGGCTTGCATTTAATTGGTTTTTGCTAATTAGTGTCAGCTGGAGAAACTAAAATACATGTCAATACAAAGTAATTGCTCCTTTAAGTTCCCGTGCGTGTTGGTTGATCTTCTCTCTTTCCAATGGATCATCGGCAATAACTAAAGGAAAAATGTGTGCAAGTACTTTACATATGCATGCACAATCAACATTGAACTTTTAACACATACCAAGTCCTTTGCCAATTTCATAAGTAAGTTATTTGGTCGTGACTATGCAATGGAAAATATTTCATGGGATGAAAACTAATATGATAGAAACTCATATAAATAAGAACTAGATTTCTCATTATATGCTGGGTTTGCTTGTCATGACTTTGCATTAACATGCATGGTCTTTTGATATTTACTGCATTATTTTCCGATCTTTCTAAATTTTCATTTATGATTTGAATTTTTTTTAAGTCTCTTTAACGTTTAAGCTTTCACAATATATTGAAAAAAAAAGAGAACTATTTTCTTTAGGTGACTGAAGCTCTTTCACGTGCTGGCCTTGAGTCTTCCAACCTCATTGTTGGTATTGATTTCACCAAGAGCAATGAATGGACAGGTTCATCATTTTTTTTTATTTAGATAGCTATTAAGTATAACATTATGTGATGTACACTGAAACTTGAATCCATTTTAGGCAAGAGATCATATAATGGTCGAAGCTTACATCATATTGGAAGTGGTTTAAATCCCTATGAACAAGCTATATCCATTATCGGGAAAACCTTGGCGGCTTTTGATGAGGATAACTTGATCCCCTGTTTCGGATTTGGAGATGGTATCACACCATAAAATTGTAATTTTGTTTCTCAAATTCTGGATGGCTTACTCAAGTTATAAAACTTAAATCTTTCTTCCTATATATTTTGATAGCATCAACCCATGATCAAGATGTATTCAGTTTCTACCCGGACGAGAGATTTTGCAACGGATTTGAAGATGTGTTAAGTCGCTACAGGCAGATTGTTCCTAATCTAAAATTGGCAGGTTGACAAACTAAGTAGTCTATTGTGTCAAGTTTAATATTTGAATGCTAATTGGAATATCTAGCTCATTCTCTCTTTCACTTTGCTGCAGGACCTACATCATTTGCACCTATAATTGAAATGGCCATGACTATTGTTGAGCAGAGTGGAGGCCAGTACCATGTTTTGCTAATTATTGCTGATGGACAGGTATTTTTTTTTTTATTTTTTCCTTTTCTTGGACTTTAGGAGAATGAGAAGGTAAAGTATCCGTCATTTGGAGCTGTGATGCTCAGATTCGGGTATGGGTATCAGATACGGGTACGTATCTAAGTGTCCGATCATAATTGAAATGGCCATGACTATTGTTGAGCAGAGTGGAGGCCAGTACCATGTTTTGCTAATTATTGCTGATGGACAGGTATTTGTTTTTTTTATTTTTTCCTTTTCTTGGACTTTAGGAGAATGAGAAGGTAAAGTATCCGTCATTTGGAGCTGTGATGCTCAGATTCGGGTATGGGTATCAGATATGGGTACGTATCTAAGTGTCCGATATTTTATTTTCTAAAATGTAGGATACAAGGTCATAACTAAAAGGAGCCTAAATTTTAGACACGGGTACGTGGGTATTTCTTTCAAGCTTCATTTTTTTTAACTAACTCAAGATGTTGTTTTGAATAAACCAAAATCAATTATTTACGAAGATAGAAATGAATATTGAAGAAGGGGCTAAATCAAATAAAATAAAATTTTGAGGTTTAATTTTTAATTATTGAAAGTTAATTATTAAATGTTATATAAAATAGAAAACAAGGGACTCGTTTGCAATTTGGACTTTGTGGAACACTAAGTAGCACTATATGAAATCCATTTTTATTTTATACAAACAAAATCCTAGCCGTTGATACAGAGAGAGAAGGGAAAAAAAGAAAAGAAAGGGGAAAGGAAGAAGAAAGAAAGGAAAGTCTAGCGTCGTGACCTTTCTACACCCTCTCGGAGGCGGCGCTAGGTTTATAGAGAGTAGAAACGAAATGGAAAAGAAAAAGAAAAAGAAAGAAAAAGCAAAAATGGAGAAGTGTTCGATTGAAACTTGGAGGATTCGACATATATTCCATACTCATACTCATATCTTGTCGTATTCGATACGGGTACTCTGATTATTTCGAAGAGTCCGAGCATCAGAGATTCGGAGTAACATTGTAACGAATGTTGTGAGAGTTTTTGTCAGGAGTCGGGAGAGATATCAGTATCTTTCACAAGACATTTGTAGGATGGATTCTATGGTGATGAAAACTTTTCTTAATTTTTTGACTTATTGATCTGAACTTATTTTATGGGGATGCATAACAGCACAGGCCGTAACTACGTTTTCCGTTGATTGATGCTATGTATCGCGCGTTTCTTATATTTCTTTATTTATTAATTAATGTGACTGGATTGGCTCAAGGATGGAACTGCACAGTTTGCCTTGTACATGAGAAGTCAGATTCTTCTGTATGCCTGAAGAGGTCTAATAGTCAGCGAACAAAGCAATAACTTGCTTGGGCATTGGCTTGTTCACTTTGTGTTTGTCATTCAATGTTATACCTCATCATTGATATCAGCAAGAATACAAAATTCCAATATCCAGCAATGCAAATATGTAAATATCAGGACTTCAAATATTACCTTCTTCTGTTAGTTTACCTTTCGAATTTGTGTTTCACTTTGCTCATAAAATCAACTTACAAAAATGGTGGATAATTTTGACTTGGAAGTGAATATTTTGGCACTCAACATTCCACGTGGCTAAAATAGTTGTCTTGTCTTACAATACTAAAACCTTTTCCATCCTTTTTTTATCTTGTGTGTGTGGGTGTTTGTAGATCGAGTCAATAATGAAACATTTTATAAGTTTGATTATCATTGTAGGTAACCAGAAGTGTTGATACTGGAAGCGGTCAGTTAAGTCCACAGGAGCGGCAAACTGTTCAGGCAATCGTCGAAGCCAGGTAAATATATGTAATTTTTCTTTTAACAAGTCTTACAACTTGTCATAGTCTTTTATACCTTGCTTTTGCAACTTTTGCAGCAAGTTTCCATTGTCTATTATTTTGGTTGGGGTTGGAGATGGCCCCTGGGATATGATGAAGGAATTTGATGATAATATTCCTGCTCGTGACTTCGATAATTTCCAGGTCAGATTTAGTGGCTTGCTTTCTATTATATGTTATAATGACGGGGGACATTTATTCAATCTATGTGTGTGCGCTTAGCTGATGGGAGATCTTTCTTTATTGCAGTTTGTAAATTTTACAGAGATTATGTCCAAAAATGTGCAACAGTCTCGAAGAGAAACAGAATTTGCTCTTTCGGCATTGATGGAAATTCCATCCCAATACAAAGCAACAATGGAGCTTAATTTGTTGGGGTAATCTTTGTATCATGTTGTTCTCCCTCTCCTGTGTGTTTGAGCAAAAGCCCATGTGTGGGGGCATGTTTACGCACTCTATTACCGTGCTAAATACATTGTTTGCTTATATAGTGGAAGGAAAGGAAATGCTCCCGAGAGGGTTGCGCTTCCACCTCCTGTGTATGGTGCAGCATCAGGCCACAGTTCGAAATTCTCAAATGAAACTAGTTTTCAACATAGCTCGAGTTCATATTATGACCACAAAAGTTCTGCTGCTCCGAGCTCTACTTATGACAATCAGGTAATGCTGTATTCCAAATCCGAGATTTATTTAACTATCTCGGCACTTGTGTTTGTTACCATTGAGGTTCTAGTTCTACAAGTTTTACTTTTTAATGGTGAACACGAGTAAATTTTGTTTGCATTTGGCAGATTTGTCCCATTTGCCTTAGTAACCCAAAGGACATGGCATTCGGTTGTGGGCATCAGGTAATTCCATTTCTATAGTGAATCAACACATATGGCATGCTTGGTAGGGAGTGGTGGACACCGTTAAAGAAGCTAAAATCTTGTACTTTGCGTGTAACAAACATAAATCTAGTATTTTGTGGAGATTTATGAAGTGGAAGATATTTACAGTTTAACATTTGATTTTTCAGACGTGTTGCGACTGTGGACAAGACCTTCAGGTTTGTCCAATTTGCCGAAGTCCAATCGAAACCAGAATAAAGCTCTACTAAGTATCTTATTATGTACAGAGCTCGATCTCATTTCCGTTACCAAATTTGTTACAATGTAAAAAAGCAGTAGTAGCTTCAGTGGATGCAGCCTGCTTAGTTTATGGTGATCACCATATGTACATTATGATGGTCATTCATTGTTTTTGGTTTTTTAATTTTTGGGCTGTTGCCAGAAAGGTTAACATTATTCAAAAATTGAATGTTATCCTGTTTGTTTTTTCCAATGGTTTGTTGATTGCAGTTGAGGATTGAGGGTTTTACCTGTTGATGTTCTTTTTGTGTTGAAACAAGATTCGTTGTATTGTATTGTATATGGACATGTAGGGAATATTATTCTGATTGAGACTTAGCCTTTGTTTGAGCCTCATTTTGGAGGAAAAATGCATTTTTGAATATTTTATTGATGGAAAATGTATGGTTAAAAAATAAAAAATAAAATTTGAATTTGCGTGTAATATTGTTTTATTGGAAAATATGCGTTTGAAATGATGTCAAAATAGTGCTTAAAAATGCTGTTTTTTTCTTTTTTCAAAGAATGGGACTCAAACAAGGGTTTAATTTTCTCCCCCTCTGTACTTCAACAAATGATCGAATTCTATTGTTTATTAGGATATCGTCACTTTCCTCTCCCCTTCTCGATGAGGAGAAGCGCTTATCTTAATGTATTTAGTATTTTTTTACTTATAAGTAAATTTTACAACTATGAGCATATTTGGTAGAGATTTTAATCCAATTGAAATTAATTTTTTGACCTTTATTTCATCATTTCAATCGTCATTTTTGAATTTTTATTTAAGAGGTAGAATCCATTTTATTTCTAACGATCAAAAAATCAATTAACAAAATTCCTATCAAGCAAACACAATAAATTAATTTTGTAATTTACAATTATATTTTATATATAATGAGATTTTTTATTTATTGTAGCTTTTTTAATTGTATATAAGTGATTTTTATCTTATTAGTAGTATTTTTACTTAATCAATAAATTTTTACATGAAGATTTTTATCTTATAAATAATTTTTTACTTCAAGTAATTTTTTTTCCCTTATAAATAATTCTTTTAGGTAATATATTTTTATTTACAAGTTAGTTTTAAATAAAATATATTGGTTGGAAATAATTATTTTATTTAAAAATATGTGATTGAAATGACGTTAAAATATTGTTTAAAAATGCATTTTTTTTTTATTTTCTGGGTAAATTAGGCCTAATACCCCCTTAAACTAACTAAATTGAATAATACTCTTTTAAAACTAATTAAATCATTCAACCCATAGTTAATATGTCCTAGACCTATAATCCATCTTCCTCTCCTTTGTTTTCATTTTCACCCTCGTCTCCATAGTTACATTCGGATCCAACCACAAGCAATAGCTGATCTTCCAAATACCTATGCAACAATTCCACCTTAGTTCTTGTATCTCCACAGCAAACTCCCTCCTCTTCTGCAGCTATCGCTAACATCAGAGGTGACGTATGCAGAAACATATTTCCAAACAGCAAATAAAGAGGCCCATTGCACAGAGCAAAGGGAGAGAAAGTGGTTGCAGAGAATTAAAAATGAATATCTCCTACCACAATAAATCGAAGAAGTGAAGAGCATTGTGATGAATGAAATAAATGTTGAAATTGAGTGGTAGGAATTCCAATACCCCTTTTCTTCAGATCTACAAACGCTGACTTGAAGCAGTATGAAGGAAAACGAACAAAGGAGGACAGTGTTAAATTTATTCAAAAAAATCAAAATTAGTCTGTTTACATTGGGTTTTGGTCGGTTGGGTGTGCAGTGATTAATTGGAGCAGCCAACAAATCTACTTTGCCTTGGGGAAGATAGTGGGATTTGCAAAAATTTTGAGTTGGTGAAGTTGGAGTTGATTTTGAAGCTTCAATTTGTATACTGTATGCTTTGTTGTGAGTTCAATTTGCATGTTGACCTTTGAAGAATGCCTGCCGAGTGGAAAAAGAATAGCGAAGTTTATGACCCGTTTTTTCACTTTACTCATAAGGCATATGTAGGTAAATTTGAGAAATAATGATGAAGTTAGTGAATTGACGAATTCATTTTTAACAAGAGTGAAATAATCGAATTTTACTTGTGGGAAATATAAATTGGAGGCATTGAGTTTGGGAATTCCTATCGTGGCAATGGCGCAATGCTTCAATTGACTAATAAAAGCACAAATGCAAAGTTTATTTTTTGTCACTTTTTTGGAATTGTGTCACTTTTTTTGTTACATTTATGAGTTTGTCACCTTTCTTTATTTTGTTACTTTTTGAATATTTGTCACTTTTTTTAATTTTTTTAGTATTTGTCACTTTTTGTAATTTTCGTTACTTTTTTTAGTGTTTGTCACTTTTTTCAATCACCTTCTTGATTTTTATTAGCTTTTTTAGTGGTAAACATCAATTTTTAATAAAAGTGATAATTGTATGTCATTTTTTAATAAAAAAATTGACATTGTATTACTTTCTAATATCACAAATTATTTTTTATTTCCAAAAAACTTTTCATACGATTTTTAAAAAGAACCCTAATTTTAAAGATATTTTTGTAAGTTACCCTAATTTTCTCCCCCTCTGTACTTCAGCAAATAATCGAATTCTATTGTTTATTAAGATATCGTAACTTTACTCTCCCCTTGTCGATGAGGAGAAGTGTTTATCTTCCTTATTGCATTTAGTATTTTTCTTTTTTACTTGTAAGTAAATTTCACAATTATAAATTAATTGTGTACTTTAAAATTATTTTTTATATATAAATGAATTTTTTCATTTATAGTAGCTTTTTTAGGAGTATATTAGTGATTTTTATCTTATTAGTAGTATTTTTACTTAATAAATAAATTTTTACAGGAATGTGATTTTTATCTTATAAATAATTTTTTTACTTTAAGTAATTTTTTTGCTTATTAATAATTCTTTTAGGTAATATTTTTTTATTTACAAGTTAATTATAAATTAGATATATTGGTTGGAAATAATTATTTTATAAATTGTAAAATTAAAATAGAATATGAGAAACAGTCAACATCTATCGACTTTGTTGGTTCAGAGAAATAATCAAAATTATACTACACAGATTTTGGAGTGATTTTTAAATCAATTGAAACCAATGTCTCAAAAGCATGCAAACACTGATTTTTCCAACTTCTCATGAACAATGTGCATGGTCAACACAATTAATAAATCTATAATTTTTTATTAGATACTCTACATTTTCTAAACTTCAAAATTTGAAATTCTCTTCGTGTAATTATATTTTTATTAATTAATGAAAATGACATTAAAATAAAGATAATAGTACGAATAGATAAAATTATATCAGAAGAACAGCCTACCATTAAGTTTACCCCACTATAAGTTTTTGTATTGTTTTACCATCCAAGCGACTTTTAACTCAGAATATGTTGAAATTGCAATACATAGATGGGTAAAATTGATTTCTTTTCTTAATTTACTTTTATTTCATGTTTTTGATTCTACGCTACCCTCATCGTCAATTCTGTTGTTAGAACAAAGGCTCTTGTTTTTGGATATACTACCACTGCCACCACTGCCACCACGATGTTTGGTAGAGATTAAAATTTTTTAAATAAATTGTGATGGAAGTTTTTGAAAAGTTGTGAAACCCATGAAAGATGTGATTAATATTAATTGGTTGACTTTGACTTAAATTAAAATATGATTTTAATCCGAATCAAATAGGCGAATAGGGACGTATCCTCTTTAGACATGAATCCAATCACAGGGCAGCAGTGACTATATTATCATTGTTGTGAACACAAAGTGTCAATGCTGATATCTTGGATACTCCATGTATGAATTAAAATCCTGTCACTGTATTACTGGAAAAGAAAGACTACAATGCATCATAATGTTATAAAAAGAGAGAAAAAGAGAAGAGAATATAAGAGTTAAAACTCAATTGTATATTATTATAAATTAATGCCCTATATTTATAGGGTCCAAAATAAAAGTTACAATTGGAAAAAAATAGATCTTCTAAATTAGATAAGACTTATCCATGTATCATGATCATACTAAATAATCATCAATAATTATCTCATTATTTATAATACCCCATTTGATGATTATTTGTACAATAACTGCCTCGTTAAAAACATTGTTTGATAAAAATTCAGTGAGAAAAAATAAAAAAAAATAAAAAGAAAAAAGAGTACAATTAATGGTTAATATTTTGGAGTTTAAAGAAAATGTTGCTTCATTAAAATCTTGTTAAGAAAATCCAATGGGACAAAACCTAGACTAAGGAAAAAGAGTACAATTACTCCCCCTAATGAAAATTACTGAAGATCTTTGAATCGATGCATTCAAATCCTTTGAACCAATTTTTTGAATGTAGACGTTGACATTGTTTTTGTGAATAAATCAACCACATTATCACTTAAACGAATTTGTTGAGTATCGATGTCGTCATTCTTTTGAAACTCATGTGTATGAAAGAATTTTGAAGAAATATGCTTCATCATATCACCTTTGATATAGCCTCCCCTGAATTGTGCAATACATGCTACATTATCTTCATACAAAATTGTGGACCATCTTTTGTTAAAGTTAATCCGCTTGATGTTTGGATACGATGGGTTATATTCCTCAACTATATACATTCTTGGTATGCTTCATGCATTACAATAATTTCAAAATGATTTGAGAATGTTGCTGTCAATGATTGTTTCATAGATCTCAATGATATAGATGTTCCTCCACTTGAAAACATATATCCTGTTTATTTGTGTGTATCAGAGAGATAACATGCATTTGCATATCCAACCAAAGCAGATCCTAACATTTGAGAATAAAATAATCATAAATCAATAATACCTTTAAGGTAACGAAAAATATATTTAACATCATTCCAATGTTTTAGAGCTGGTGTAGAGCTATATCTTATAAGGAGATTTACATAAAAAAAAAAAAAACTATGTTGGGTCGAGTGCAATCTGCAAAATAAGTTAATGCTCAAATTGCACTAAGGTATTGCACTTCAGGACTAATAACCTTTTTATCTTTCTTCAGGTGGACGAAGTGAATCTTTTTTCACATCAAGTGATCGAATAACCATAGATGATGTCAATGAACGTGCATTATCCATATAAAAGCATTCTAAGACTTTTTCTGTATATGCAGATTGATGAACATATAATCCTTCTAAGAAATGCTCAATCTGCAATTCAAGACAAAATTTGATTTTTCCCATATCCTTCATCTCAAATTTATTTTTCAAATAATCTGTAATTTTGTTAAGCTCTTCAAGAGTTTCAATTAAATTTAAATC